TTTATTTATCACGTGGATTTAACGGTTCTGTCAATATTTCAGAAAGCTGTGACTTTCGATCACAATTTGACCCCTCATACATAATTTTGAATGAAAAAGTATAAAATAAACAAATCTGTAAGTTTAAAGATTTTTGAAATATAGATGAAAATACGTTTGATTACGAATAAAAGAAACCGAATGCTTCTCTCTCTGGTTAGTTTGGGGTGATATGAATTCAAATGTACAACAAATAACTAGAAATAACCAGTAATAACTTATCCATTGCCTAACTGTGAGTTTTCTTCCTCAACTAACTAGAAACAACCAGAAAAGATATTATAAATATTTGAAAATAAATACTTAGATAGAGGTCTTAATAAAATTGAACTAAAGAAAGTATAAAACTAGAAGTTCTGATCTAATACCGCAAAAAGTTAATATTTCTAGAATCTTTTTTAGACTCATATTTTATATATAAACGCGAATTAGCGCAAGTCCATTAAAGGAGAATGTAAAAATTATGCGACCTCACTGAAACGACTTTATGACCTCGTACCGCTTATAGTTTTGGTTTTACCCAAATGAATGAGGCTAAGATGTATTAGGTTACCTACTAGAAAACCAAAACATTGTTTTTGGTCTCCGTTGAGGTCTCCAATAAGAGAACTCTGATTAAAAACATAAAAGATTACAAACTAATTTAAAATTTCCTTCAGGTTAACGTGATTCATTCCTCATTTTACTTTTATTTCTTATAACAAATTTACCCTTTTTATGGAACAAGTTAAAAACTAATATACATCTCTATGTCTATGTCGAATGGGTCCATTTAGTGGTATGGACTGCAAATTGTGTTGAGACATAACTAGTTTTGTTTTTTACAAACATTTAAGGTTTTTGGCTCTTTTAGATGATCCAAAAAAGTCTAAGAATTTCTACAAATTTTAAATTTGTTTATTCTTAACATTTGTTTTTCATCCACTATGCCAAAGGAATTGAGTCTTTGTCACAAACTTAAATTTTTAATCCTTAATTCTTTGCAACCTGCTAGTGATTATTTGATCCAACAGAGTTCATATTACTTTAATATTTAGGGTCTACAACAATTGGTTGCAAAGATGTAGGCGTTAAAAATCAGAGATTGGGGCCAAAAAATCAATTCCTTTTGACCAAAACCTAGGTCCACGCAATGTTCCATAAGCGCACCAGCCCCAGAAGGTATTTTATAGATAAGTTTAAAAGATTTAAACCATTTAAATGAAAATAGTTTTGAAACATAAAAAATTGACGAAATCATGTTATTGTAAACAAACTCTTAAACAAACATAAAAGTGTGAAATCCACAGAATTTAAATCCATAATTTGGCGGATTACAAGAGCTGAAATGAAACTTGACTGTTTTATGATTATTATTCTTGCATCAGCATTGTTTTTCATGTATATTGTGGTGCAACAGTAGATGTCTGCAAAATACAGGGTGTTACAATATCATGCCAATTAAACGACGACTTCTATATTGTCTTTGTTCCATGCTTATTATTTCGTAGTCAAACATTCAACACCACAAACTACTAGTCTCGGGATTTCCAAAACGTGGTCTACCATTTTTACCTTCATAATTCATGGAGATATTATGAAATTTGTTCAGATTCGAGTTTATATAAAAAAAACAATAAAACTGTCTAAATGTTAAATAACTCTGTCAATTTTAAAAAACAAAGAAGTGTAGACCACATTTAGGAAAGCTCATTAGACTTATAGCACTTTATGTCATTTATCAATTATCGCAAATTGAAGACTATATTCATGACGTCTCTCAATTCTCATGTTTATTGGGACACATATATTAATGTTTACTTTTACAAGACTGAGATTGGAATTTTTGAATAGACTCGTAAAAAAAATATTTATTTTTTTTGGTCAAATTTTGGGGTTTCCAGATCAAAATCAAGTAAATTTTCAAAAATGCTAATTCATTTGATAATTTGACAAGATGAAATTAAAAGTTTTTTTTGATATTACTTAAATTCTTCACACAATAGGAAGAAACTGAAGAAAACTTCAAAATTGTTGTTCTTAAAAACGGCTTAATTTTTTGTCATGACAGAATGATGAAAAATTCAAAGCAAGAAAAATTAACTTAACAATGTGTGAACAAGGGGGATGATAGTTTCCTACCTGTGTGCTCAGTTAGCTGTATTGTACACTTACAACTGTTTACTTATATACTATAGATTAGGCTAGAATCAAAGATAATATATATATAGATATGCAGGCAGGTATAAATTTTGAGGTCTTGAGAAAAGGTGAAAACAGCACCATCTCTGTCGTACGCATGGCATTTTATCCTCTGGATTGTTGCTGATTTATCACTTTGTTTATGCGTGATAACACTAAATGCGTGCTATAGTATCAACAATGTATACTGCATATTGTACTTAATGAAACAAATTAATCAATGCAAATAAAACTGAGGTAGGAATTTGACTAGACAAAGTTTAAATGTGCAAGTTGTACTGAATGGCATACGTAAATTAACGCAATTTAAATAAAAATTATGACTAAAAGGTACATCGAATCTAGGACAAAGTCCTAATGGCGGACAGGATCCGGTCGAACAATACGTCCCATTCAACACTACTATGGTCGGTTGCTCCTGGCTCTTCATGGCTCAAAACTGGCTCATCACCCCCTAAACCCCAAAAACTCAAAAAAACTCCATTACTTTCCTAAAATGATCATCCTAGGTTTGGTGCGATCAAAACTTCAATTTGATTGGTATATAAAAAAGAAATGAGCCAGCCCCAGTCCATTATCCCCTTTGATAGCCTTAGTTTAATTTTTTTAAATAATTCAAATTTGCCATGAAATTAACCAAATAAGTAAACCGTCCCTTTAAACTTCTATTTTTTAAACTTTCCAAATTCATAGAAAATTCTGCAAACAAATGCAGGAAGGAACTGTTAATCTTTTATCTCAGAGGTTCAAAAATTAGTTGCCTGCTACAAGCAATTTAGGAAGGAGGTTTTTACCTGCCTGCATATCTATATATATATTATCTTTGGCTAGAATCAACTTATAATCAACAAATATACAGTACGCTCTCGGTATATACATGGCCTTCACAATTAGTAAAGGATTAGCGTACATCATCACTCTATACACTATAACCTCGTTGTGTGTGACCCTTTAATGTTGTAATTCAAACTTTTCAATATTTGCAAGCAAGCATTTTCTTTTATCAAACAATCAAAAAATGACAAAAATGTTGCAGAATTTACCTTTTTTTTGCCAAAATTGTTAAATTGAATTATTGTTTTACTTTCTACTGAATTCTGCTATTTCTGTCGAAACATGTCGACTCCGACTGTCGAAACATGTCGAAACGTCGAAACATGTCGACTCCGACTGTCGAAACATGTCGACTCCGACTGTCGAGGCTCCATAAATAACCTAAGCGTTTATTGGACACAAATTCAAAAAGCATGCAAAGCATAATAAATATAAAAAGATTTTAAAAACAAATATCCTGAACATTTTAGTTTGATAACAATATAAAGTGTGATAATCAAAAATTTACAATTCAAAATTGTATTATAGTATAATATTAACAAAAGGAATGTATTTACAATTATACTATTTGTATTTGAGCTTTAAACAAGTTTTAAGTGCGTCTTGAATTGTCCAAACTTGAAGTTAAAAGCTAAATTGAATTTTAAAAGGACTGTAAGCGTAATTTCAAGTAACCCTCCATCCAAAGATTACAATGCCCGATTCACAACGATACCCTTGAAACCTTTATCTGATCAATATCGTGGAAGATATATTTTCCAGGTTTAAGCGTTTACAGATTAGCAATTCATGTATGTTTTCCTGTAGTAGAAATGCGCAAGTCACTTTGTAGAGGAACCACAATCTTAAACAATATTATGAACATTAATATCCAATTTATACTTAATCAGACAAAGGCACCGTACTGAGAATCTGACAATCTTTGCATGGAGGGTCACTTGAAACTAAGCTTACAGTCCCTTTATAGCAATATTATTTTATCAGCTTTTGTAAAGACTGTTTTTACAGCAGCAGTAAATAATAATATTTATATTTTATTAGTCTGGCACAACATTACAACTTTAACAAATATATAGACTTTTCTTCTGTTTATTTGTTAAACAATTCAATGGAAATTCTAAGTTGAGAGAAATGACTCTAATAGAGAAAACTCAGTTTCCAGGCAAAGCATGGTTCCCATACCAGTGCAGAGTAAAATATGTACATTTATTATTCTATATTATTATAACTGAACTCAATAAAACAATTTTACTTAATCACAGATATTTAGTATTTGCTTTAATGACATAAAAATTCTTTAAATGCAACATGCAGAAAACAAAATTATTTGCCTCAAACTACAAAATCTAATCTCTTTATTTTGAAACCTGAAATATTTCAAATTTTTACTTTGATCAAACTTTGAAATATTCATAGTTTGAAATATCAAAGGTTTATGACATCACGTTGCGAATTACAAGAAAGACGATATTATTTGGATTTCTTTCTTAAAATTTTCATGAAAATATAATCTTTGAACTTCATACAGTTAAACCCTAAATGAACAATACATCGAAAGAATTTATCAAATGTCGTCTTGACATTTTTTTTAATGTTTTTTATACTATTTTACGTAAATCTCAGTATTTGTGAAAACAAATAAATAGCTATGAATATGCGGGAACAGTTTTGAAGAGCTCCATATAATCATTTAATTAAAAAACTAAATATCTGCAACATTCCATTATCAGAAAGTTAAGAATACGACATTTGATGAATTCTTTCGATGTATGGCTGATTTAGAGTTTAATACATGTACCTCCTTATTAATGATGCAATGCACGAAAACTGGTAAAATTTCTAAATGTTTACATTTACACCAAGGGTTACCCTCCAAAATGAGATGAATTGGTTGATTGTGCTAATTGCTATTGTAGATAAAAAACGAAATAAAAAGAAATCACAAATTTTGATACAGAGTTTTCATCTTGTTTAATATTACGATTTCAATAAAAATTTGTCTGTTTAGTCAGTTTTCTTCTCAGCTTCACATTTCTCAGACTGAAGAAGTGACTGAATGTCGTCTTTTGTTGGATTTTGATAGATTGTTCCTTTCTCGAGGGTTTTTAAGTGCTCAACCAGGGATTCCTCACTCTCAAGTTTAGCCTGCAACATTTACAACACCTTGAACCCTTGACATGCTTGAAGGGGAGGGGGNTTCTTCTTCTTCTTCTTCTTCTTCAGGCACTAAATAATAACATTTGTTTTGTTGTTTGTATGAAATGATTGTCATTTGGAAATTAGTCACCTTTTCAGTTGGTTCTTCTTCTTCTTCTTCTTCTTCTTCTTCTTCTTCTTCTTCTTCTTCTTCTTCTTCTTCTTCTTCTTCTTCTTCTTCTTCTTCTGCTTCTTCCTTCTTCTCTCCAGCTTCTGATATTTCATCTGATTCTCCATCCCCATCCATCTTATTCTTTGAAAATAATTTGGCTAAAGGATTTGAGTCTTTGCAACAAACTCAAATTTGCCATCCCCAATATTTATCGAACCTGATGGTGTACATCTTAAATATTTCGAACTTAGATTATAAGCTCTAGAAGAATGAATAGTTTGAAATATCAAAGGTCTACAACATTTGGTTGCAAAGATATAGAAATTAGAAAATTAGAGTTTGTGGTAAAGACTCAATTCCTTTGCAGAATAAAACACAGGTGAAAACTTATTTTCCAAAAGGTAGTTGCGCATCTGGACGTTTTACAAAAACGTATTCAACGTGTTTATACAGTTTAAGTAACACAGAACTTCAGAGACATCAAAAGAATTTATAAATTGCCATTTTGACAATTTTACAATGGTTTTTTTATTATTATATCTAAGACTCAATAATTGTAAAAATAAATAAACAGCCATGAAATATGCGGGAATGGGAACAATTTAAAAGACACCAATATAATTAATAAAAAAAATCTGCAGACGACATTTTCTAAATTCTAAGTTCTGGGTTTAACTGTATCAAAACTAGCTGAACAGATGTTTTTAAAAACGTCTACTTTATGCTTGACTCCAAATCATTCAGAAATAAAAAAATGTCCAGCAATTGCAGAAACATCTATATTCAAAATGTTGAAAATTAGATTTTAGAAATGATTTAGCAGTTAAATCAGTCTTTAAAATATAGTGTTTACAATCAGTGATTTATTTTGTAAGTTATAAAAGTGAGTTTTGTTCTGAATTGTGGATTATACTGAAAAACGGGAACGTGGGTTTTGTCTCCAAAACACGACAAAGTTTCATATACAGGATATGTTCGAAAATGGAGAGCCTGGAATTGTCTTGAAAACGGTCAAATGTTTTAATATAAAAAAACTCTTATTATGAATTTGAGTTCAGAAAATAGTTTTAAATTGGGATTTTTTTCCGTTGTCCTGCTTGATAAAACCCAGTCTTTCAATTTGTGCTCAATGCTAACACGCAGTTTTAAAAATGGGCCTCATGTTAGTTTTGGAATGAATGTCCCCAGTAATTATCAGTTGGATTTTTGTCGACTTATTTTAACTTTTCATCATGTTGCCATAAATCAAACTTTTTTATTTGGCGACTGAAATCATTTTTAAAAAGTGTCCTCAACATCTTTAGATATATATGTCAGTTTTAACAAAGTACAAAAACCTAAGCGACATTTTTTGAACGCTACATTTATTCCGCAGTGCTGAGACCCACATAACTGTTGAATAGGAAGACGACATTTTTACAGTCATATTTGATGTTGTTATAAAGCATACAGTTTTACAAGTAGCTTGAAAATCAATAAGTAAAAAGGGTTTTAGCAAACCTTACAATTATGTGCATTGGAGTATTTAGGTGAATAACTTGAGTCAAACAGTTGTCCTTCTATCCCGAAGATTTATGAGTCTTACTGTAATATTTCACCTTGAGAGGGTCTAGATCTTGATCCATGTTGAGCGGATGATCAAGATCAATATCTGTATTGTTAAGCAGCTGCTGCGCCAGGAGCAGCTCCTGGTTCTCCGCCTCAGGAGAGCTGCTCTTCTTATTTCTCCGGCTCCGCCTTGGAAAATAAAAGATTTAAATTTATTCCTCCTATTGGAAATAGTAAATACCCAAATGAAGTAGAATAGAAGACGACCTTTTGTTAAATTGGGCCCAATATAATAGTATACATTTACATATATACGTTGCATGTCTGCATGTCAGCTAGGAGGGAAAATAGGCTTTTTGATATTAATTACATTTTTAAAAACTAGGATGTGTAAAATTGATTAGTCAAAAAAGTGTAAATTATCAAAATCTCATTCTTAGTGGATAACCCACAGTAATTATAAGATTGCAAGCTTTCACGCAAAAATGGATCAGAAATTTTTTAATTTCTGCTTAAATACTAAAGGTAAGAACAATTTCTCTAGAGATGTAAAATAAAAATGACCAGGCCTCCAAAAAAGTGTGATCGAGTTAGTTATGTTAATTAAAAGAACAAGGCGTTGCCATGCTTTAAAAAGTCGACTAGGTTTTAACAGTTGAACCAGCTTTTATAGCATCAGTCTGGTTCAATGTGTACTATAATATAACCCCAATCTTAACTAAAATGGTTTAGTTTCTATACATTTATTTAAATATTTTTCTGTCATTAACAGTAGTTAACTATCGTTAATGAAGGTTCATTATTTGTGGTAGTTAACGGTCATTAGACGATTGTAAAAAAAATACAATGCTTTATTAAAAAAACTACGAACTAAAACTTAAAAACGACTTCTGCGTTGTTTAAATAAAAAACGATCCTTTTCAAAAACAATTTTTTTTTTACGTCGTTAACAAAACGATTGGCTCGTTTTTCAGAAAAGTACTTAATCCATGCTTACCTTTGCGCCATGAAGTACATAAGAAAGATAAAAACTACCCCATACATTGAGCCAATAATGCCGTACAGTACAGAGGAGATCCCACCTCCATTATTATCAGAACTTGGCTTCCGCATTTGTTCTGCTAAATGTTATTAAATTAATACCTTTTTATTACAAAGGAACTGAGTTCTTTCTGCAAACTCCGACTTTCTTATTTTTATATCTTTGTAGCCCAATATTGTATTGTATAAAATATCTAAGGTTTACACCATAAGGTTGCAAAGATATAGGGATGAGAAAATCTGAGTTTGTGGAAAGAACTCAAATTCAAAACACAATAACTAAACTTGGAAAAGTTTAACTGGATCAAAGTAGTAAAAAACAGCATTTTTGAAACTTGGTAATTTTTCTAAAAAGAATTGGAAAAAGTGAAGTTTTACAGGGATAAACCAAACTTTGAAATATTCTGTAGAACAGTTTAGTGAAGTTTTACAGGGATCAGCCAAACTTTGAAATATTCTGTAGAACAGTTTAGTGAAGTTTTACAGGGATCAGCCAAACTTTGAAATATTCTGTAGAACAGTTTAGTGAAGTTTGAAACAGCAGAAAGGAAATAATTGCAAGGCTTATACTGATAAATGAAATCTTGTTATTTATTAATGATTGAACTTTGAAATTTCAAAAATATTAGATTCCATTAATAATACGCATTTATTCTAAATAATCAATTATTCTAAATTAGAATTAAAGCATTGACAAAATAAGTTTGACTTTGAAATGTTAAAATCCAATGATATAATGCAATTAATACTTTTACATTTCTCAAAAAAATAAAGATTCAGCACAATGTCTTCATTCTTTACTTCGTAAATAAGTCTTTTAAAGAGTTTATATAGTTTATATCTATTCAAAGCTAAGTTAAAAACCTGAGTTTTATCTTACACTCACAGCTCTGTATATATTTTTTAGTTTATCTGTCAGATAGGTTGGCCACATTTTTTATTTTTCGAGTTTATCTGTCAGATAGGTTGGGCACATTTTTTATTTTTTGAGTTTATCTGTCAGATAGGTTGGGCACATTTTTTATTTTTTCAGTTTATCTGTCAGATAGGTTGGGGACATTTTTTATTTCTAGTTTATCTGTCAGATAGGTTGGGCACATTTTTTATTTTTTTAGTTTATCTATCAGATAGGTTGGGCACATTTTTTATTTTTTGAGTTTATCTGTCAGATAGGTTGGGCACATTTTTTATTTTTTGAGTTTATCTGTCAGATAGGTTGGGCACATCTTTTATTTTTTCAGTTTATCTATCAGATAGGCTGGGCACATTTTTTATTTTTTGAGTTTATCTGTTAGATAGGTTGGCCACATTTTTATTTTTTGAGTTTATCTGTTAGATAGGTTGTCCACATTTTTATTTTTTGAGTTTATTTGTCAGATAGGTTGGCCACATTTTTTATATTTAGTTTATCTGTCAGATAGGTTAGGCACATTTTTTTATTTTAAAATTTTTTCCCCACTTTTATTTACAAAGGCAATAATTTTAATTCTTCATCCCTCGCATATTCTTTCATAAATTTTCGCCAATTTTCAAAGGTTTTAAAACAATATGGTTGTTGATGAAATCACTTTTTTTATAATTGAAAAACACTTTTATTAACATAGCGCTACTGACAGTTGAAAAAATATTTACTTTGATTTCTCTGTGTTTATCTGACAGTTTCAGTTCTATTTTCTTTCTTTCTATGTGTTTATTGTACAGTTTCACCTCTAATTACTTTATTTTCTCTGTGTTTATTGAACGGTTTCACCTCTGAGAACTTTCCTTTCTATGTGTTTATATATCAGTTTTGATCTATTTACTTTCCTTTCTCTGTATTTAATTATCAGCTTTAGCTCTATATACTTTCATATACTGTGTTTATCTATCAGTTTCAGACCTATATACTTTCATATATTGTGTTTATCTATCAGTTTCAGATCTATATATTTTCATATATTGTGTTTATCTATCAGGTTCAGATCTATATATTTTCATATATTGTGTTTATCTATCAGTTTCAAATCTATATATTTTCATATATTGTGTTTATCTATCAGTTTTAGATCTATAAACTTTCCTATCTCTGTGTTTATCTATCAGTTTCAAATCTATGTATTTTCATATCTCTGTGTTTATCTATCAGTTTCAGATCTATATACTTTCCTTTCTCTGTGTTTATCTATCAGTTTCAAATTTATATATTTTCATATATTTGTGTTTATCTGAAGGGTTGTCTACAGTAAACTATGTAACTATATTAACATTGAACCACGTAGCTGAGGCCTCCGCTCCTTCCAACTCTTCTTTTTTTAATTAATTAAATTTAAAACTAAATTTCCTCCAAGCAAGGGTTTTCACTTTTTATAAACGAGAAACATTATGAATAATTTTATTTAAGGTTTAATTTAATCCCTGTAAGGTTTGAGAAAGTAGTATTAATTTTAAATGTC